GCCTCTGACCCTCGGTGGGGACAGGACTGTCACATAAGGGCAGTGGCAGGGAGCTTGGACCAGCAGGACGTGGAGGACTTGGACCAAGAGAGAGCAAGGGGAGGGAATTCCCAGCTGGGAGAAGACATGGAATATTTGGCCCAAAACTAGAAACCCACACAGAGATTTTGGTTTGAAGCTTTAGGAAACATTTGTTTCATTCCTCATGAAAAAAAAAAGAAAGAAAGGATGACCAAGGGAATTATTTGAAATGAGATTTTAACAAGAAAAAAAAAAAAACTCATAGTGTTCCATTAGTGTTCCCATACCAGCCCATTATGAACAAGTCTGTGGGGTGAGTTTAAGAGTTTCTGCTCCTTTAGTGAAGCCACCAACACCCAGGGTGGGGTTGAGTTTGTTTATTGCTTTGTTTTCTTTTTCTTTTAACATTCTTCTTCCTTTGAGTATTAAACATGATTCACATTTTTTTTGTTGTTGTTGCAGCCGCTCTCTGGAGTCTTTCTGGAGCATATTCCTGTGTCTGACAGAGCCCAAAGCAAACCAAGGCCCCTTGTGCATGTGTTGTAAGAGTGTGTGAGCTCCAGAGCTGAACAGGCTTACTCCGAATTCCAGATCTGGTCCTGGAGGAGGTGAGTCACCCTCCCCGGAATCCAGGATTCCCTGAAAAATGGGAACATCATGCCCACCTCCAGGAGCAGCTGATGTGGACATGAATTTAAGGCCCCGTCACAAGGACCCTCCTCAGTGCTCAATAATCGGAATCCAGGATTCCTCCAGCTGCACCCTGAGCAGTACACAAATGCTAAGGACCAATGTCTCCTCCCATGACTGAGTCCCAGCTGGATCTCCTGCATTCTGGGCCCTTCTGGGGACCTCCTTCTTGTCATAATTATCTCTCAGGCTGATAGTGCCTGGAAAAGGCTCCTGTAAGAGTGGCAGAATTTCATGGGTGGGACCTGGCCCAAAGTCTAGCAGAAAAACTGGATCTCACTCCCTCTTATAGCTTAAGGCTCCGACTCACCAAGTCTTGAAAGAAAAATGAAAAAGAAAAAGGCAGGAGCCAGGTGCAAGGCAGAACGCAGATCTGTGCAGGGTGTACATGTGATCAGAACACATCTCTAGTCCAGCCATCCCGAGTCCAGCTGATTCTGTCTCATTCTTTGCTGTGCAGCACAGGGAAGATTGGTCAACTTTTCTGGTGGTCTCCTCAGCTTTGCCAGTCTCGCTGGCTGTACAAGATGAGATGGGAGATCCTTTATTATTTTGGGGATGAATCTGTGCATCTCTTCTCCCAGTCTTTCCCTTTTTGACTGTTCTGCTCCCACTCAGCTAGGGGAGCATGGGAAAGATGAGAGAACTCGAGTCCTCCAGCTCCTGAGTCCATAGAACCTAGGTACCGTGATGGCTCAGGGAGATCACCTGCAGCAACTCACTCTGGGAGGCTGAAGCAGGAGGAGGTGCAGCTCAGTGGGAAGCCCTGGGTTCAATTCCCAGTACTGAGAAACAAGCGCTCAAGGTCACAGTTAGTGAAGGGCCAGGATTTGACCCAAGCTCTGGACTCGGGACTGCCAGCTCTGCTCAAATCCACAAAGCTGAAGCCTCTGGGAGATGTTAGAGTGTTTCCGACCAGCGAAAAGGTGAAAGGCCAGCATGGGCTGTGGTCTGGGGAGCAGAAGGGAGGCACCGGCATCCCAGCTTCTCACTTCACTGTGGGGTGGAATCAGGAAATGAAGACCTAGGAGAACAACGCTTCCTGTTCCCCTCTGCGGAAACCTGGTCACCCCAAGTCCGTCCTGCCTCAGCATCTCAAGTGTCCGGCTCTGCGCAGGACAGTAGCAGGACATGCAGGATTGGAGCCAGCAGAACCGGGCAGAAACCAGGGCTGGCTCCTCCACTTGCTCTTCCCCCAAATCCAGCTTCTTGGGCTGCAGGGCAGGGTGAGGCCACTGACCATCAGCGCCCACCCTGCCCCTCCGGAGCCTCCCCAGAGACAGCACTAAGGAGGCACAGAGAAGAGCTTCAGCTCTCCCACGCTTCAGGGCCTGGGGCTGCTGGTGTGCTGAGGGGGAAGTATAATCCTTTACTTAATTAATGAATAGCAAAGCCCTACTGTGTGCTGACACTGTCCAGGGTGCTGGAAAGGTCAGAGAACTTCCCCAAAAGTCCCTGCTGTAGTGGAACCGAGAACCTGCTGAGCAGGGACAGAGAATGCACAAACCTGTAAATCTGTCCTCTACTGCCCTGGGACAGTCTCTATGAAGAATAACAGTGACAAAGAGACAGAAAAGGCTTCTCTGAGACATTACAGCAGAACCTGAGATGGACAGAGATCTGCAAACAGCCCAAGGGACAACTCTCCCTGGAACCACAAGTGCAAAGGGCCTGAGGCAGGGTAGGGAGAGCCAGGAGAACAGAAAAGATACAAGGCCTGAAGAGATACAAAAGTCACAAAGACAGGGAGCTGGGTCCTAGAGGGCCTTGTTTTCAGGTAAGGATTATGCATCTTATTGAGAGTGAGATGAGAAGCCATCAAAGACTTCTGCACTTCAGAGTGGAATGATCTGATTTAACAGATCTCTCCCCCAGCTGCTGAAGGGACTGAATAGGGCTGAACAGCCAGCCAGGCAGGGGAGTGTCTCTGACCTTCGGTTCCCTCCACTCCAAACTTGACTTTCCTTTCCATCGAAGCACGGTAATAACACTTCCCTGCAACCGTTTCCTAAGGGGGCTTACTGAATAGCACGATGACCGCTAAATCCTTTCTAGCAGTCACGTTGCTAAATTATTGTTATTGTTATTACACATGTTCATGCAATCTTTAGCTAATATCGGTTTCCTCCTACACTGAGGCTCCACACAGGTGCAGAGATTGTCTTTGTCCTTCCTCGCCATGTACCCAGCCCTGGCCTGCTTCTTGGCATGCAGGTGGTGCACGGTAATTAATCGGTGCCCTGATGAACAGGACGGGTGAGGGGTGAGGGAGTGATGGGTGGATGGACGAATGAGATACTTCCTGAGGTAATGAGTGCCCGGCTCCTGGCAGCATGTAAGGAAGCCTGAGGGCTGAGACTGGCCTGCTACTTCTGTTCCTTTATTCACTCAGCAAACACTGCCTGGATGGCCCCTGTGACGGCATTGGGGTCACCTCCATGAGCCAAACTCACAAAGCCCCTGCTCACTTCACCATGGACAAAGCCAGGAGACAAACAGCGGGTGTCTGGGAGGATGACAGATGAGCAAAAGGAAACAAGGTAAGGAGCAGCACAGGACACGAGTCCCTGATCCCCCCGCCCGGGAACCCGGGAAGATTCACGTGGGAGACAGCAGAACCCTCCAGCTAGCAGAGGCTTCAGTCCCTGGATGGCCTCAGAAAGAACTGGGGGATGGGGGTCCCCGCTCTGGACTTTGAGGCGAGAGGCTGAAATTGGACCGGATCGCCCTAGTGTTCTGCCGCATCTGTGTGAGCTGGGACGACCACAGACTCTCTCTGGGACTCAGTTTCCCCCTATAGCCGATCCTGTGTTCTTCCAGCTCTGATCCCAGTCTGGGTAAGTGGAGGCGGCTGCATTTGGCCTCCCCTTCCTACGTACTTCCTTACAAAGTGGGGGTGCACCGGGAAGGGGGCTCCTACTCCAGCAAGACTTGTCTTTCACTGAAAAGCTGCTCTCCACGCACCCAGGGGTCTACGGGCTCAGCTCCGCCCCCGATGGCGGCTCCGGGGAGCACACTCAGAGGCCACGGGGCAGGGGCAGGACAGCTATGCGATTTGCAGGTCCCATGCAAAGTAAAAATGCAGAGTCCTGGGTTCCAGCCACAGCTTGCCCACTGCTGCTCACTGGAGGAGAGGAGGCTAGCAGAGCTGCTTGGTGTAAGAACCGAAGCTTGACTAAAATCCCTGCTGCTGGGTGGGAGAAGCTTGGCCAGGAGGAGGAGCTGGTGAGAAGCAGGGTAGAATCTGAGATTCAGGCTCCACCTCTCTGAAATGGGCGAAGTTAGATGCCCAGGCCTGAAACTGAGACATGCTTTCAGCAAATTGCGAGAGCACCTTCCCTCGGGACGTTTTGTCTGTCTCGTCCAACTTCCACCCTGCACTTACACAACTCAGTCGCTCCTTAGACACTGCCACTCCCCGACCCCAGGCAAGCTCTGGCCTCCTGGGTTGGCATCCAGCCCTCCTGGGCCTTGGGCAGCCCCTCGCTTCTCTGAGCCAGTGTGCCCATGTGTGTGGTGGGGTTATGAGGACAGGCCTGCCTGGTACCCAGCCCTTGTGAGAAGGTAGTGGAAGAGGCTCTCAGAATGCTGCTCAGTCAGCAGGCAGCAGCCAGCTTCCTAATCTAGGGGCCAGGCCTTGGTTTTCCTATGTTGGGAACTAGGCGGACACTGGCACAGATACCTGAGCTCCCTCCACACATCCAAGGGCCTAAACAGCTGGCTCTGGGCTGGACAGGGAGTAGCAGTGCCGGGCATCACAAGGCGTTCACGGGCAGGTATTCAGAGTCCTGATGACCCTGGGAATCTCCCAGAAGCCTCTGGAACACAGTTCCTCCATCCCTGTGTGGCCAGCTATTGCAGCTGAATTCGGGGTACTCTGGGGCCTGAGACTCAAGCTGGGGTGCTGGGTCTCTGAGCTGGGGGAGCTGGGGGAGAGGAGAACATGCATGGTGGTGGGCCTGCTTCACTCTTCCAAGCTTGGAAGTTCCTCCCAGAATCCTCTGGGACGGAATGGGATGGAGATGGCACTACAGGACAAGAGGGGTTCACTGAGGCTTCTCCAGTGACCACCAGGGGTCCAGATCTCCGCCACTTTCCATATTACCGGGGCCCACTGATCCTCTTCTTGAACCCCATCTCTGCCCAAGAAGACTGAGTGGCCTCGGACTGGAAACACCAGACCCCATTTTAACAGCACCACCTCTCTTGACTTTGGGGCCTGTGCACCTGCCAAGGCCTCACTAGAATTCTTTTTGTTTGTTTGTTTTTTAGACAGAGTCTCACTACAGTTTAGTCCGGGATGAATTTACTGTTGTAGCCCAAGCTGGCCTCAAGGTTGTGACAATCCTCCTGCCTCAGCCTCCTGAGGGCTGGGATTTCAGGCAAGCACACCATGTCAGGTTTCCACTGGAGATTTCTTTTGGGCTCTTCTTGAACTGTTTCTCTTTTCCCTTTGGTCTGGGCTCACAAGCTGCCTCTGAAGAGAGGCTGGCCTTGATCCCTCTGTGGAAAATAAGCTCCAAGCAGGCTTCCCAGCAGCCGTGGCCTGTTACTACCCAGCTTGGAGGCATCCGTTTCCACCTCAAGCTAGGCGCCTCTGTTCCAGTGTTGGTCTTGCAAAGCATAGCTGAAGGGATTAGTGGGAAAACCAACCCAACACTGGGCCAGAATCTGAGATCCAGTGCTGCCTGAACTCTTCGTGCTCGACCCACTTCAGCCTATTTCCCAGCGAAAAGTCCACGCCTCTCCAGGGGGCACCCAGAGGGAGAGAAGCCGGCCAGCCCTCCCCACTCCCTCAGAGGATGGCGAGGGGTGGCCACAGAGGAGCCAGAGGATCGCCTCTTCCGGTCTCCACTGGGCGTCCTGAGTGCTGAAGGCGTTCCCGCTGCTCCCTCGCCCCAGCCTGGCGGGATTCCAGTCCGTACCGGGAAACCCAGGTTTAGCCCCTAGCCACAGGCCGCGCGTGGTTAGGAGCTCTGCGTGGACCCTCGACCGTTGTGTGACCCTGCCCAAGTCATTTCACCCCGTGCCTCAGTTTCCTCGTCTGTGAAGTGGGGTAACGGTGGCACTCGCGCCTTCGTTGGTGTGGTCCGAGTGGAGACTTCAGAAAGATCTCTGCGCCGCCAAGGCTGCAGGACAGCTGGGCTGCGGCAGGACAGGGGAACAAGATCACCCGGGTCTCAGCCTGCTCCAAACACGGGCTTCCGGTGTTTCTGGGTTGGGGAGCCCCTCGCCTCCCACTCACCCACCCACACATACCCAAGAGCCCAGGGAGACGAGAGGAGGGAAAGGGCGGCGAACCTCTCAGAAGTCAGCACAGAGAAGCAGACGCCCTCTCTGGGAACAGCCCTAGTGGCGACAAAGCGGCGGGGCGCAGCTGCGGAGTCCGGGAAGTGGCTGGGGGCGGAGGCTTTGGAGTCAACGAGTTCCCTGAGTCTCCGCGACCCGGACTCCTGCGGTCTCGCGCGGCAGATGCACGCGCTCACTCTCTCACCGCCCCTGGCGTAGATGGAGAGACCCTGGCGAGGTCGCCGGATCTTTCAATTCCGCTCACAGATGCGGGGAAGAAGCGACCCCTGCCTTTCACGATCGCGGGTTCAGATACAGCCAAAGGCTCCACGCCTTAAAGACGGACAGGAAAGGCCGCCGCGCAGAGCTACTGCCTAGCCGGATTGGGTGCGGGGTCCTAATCAGAACCTAACTGAGGCCAGGATTTTGAATGCGCCTCCGGCTCTTCAAAGCCAGGTCCAGGTGTCCCTGGGCGCCGGGCATCAGGGGCAAATTCCAAAACCTCAGGAAGGGAAGGGCGAAGTGGCCTGCTAGAGACCACTACCCCAGGGAGAAGCCTGGTCCAGCACCGTCTCGAGTCGCAGGTCGCCCGGCTCCTGGGAGGTGCAGACACACACCCCTGCTTTGAAATTCGTCTCTTTTAAGTACTCACAATCGACGTTTATTGCTGGAGGGGCCAAGAATCTCTGTTCTGGTTTATTCCAGTATCCATAGGAAAACATTCCTGCAAGTCCGCACTTTATGTCTAGGGAAAGAGGGACTCAGAGAAGTTAAATAACCTGCTCCAAACCGCACAGCTAGGAAGTAAGTACCACGACTCTTTCCCAGAGAGCCCGGCTCCGGTTGGAGTGGACTCTACCCTAGGTGACTGGCAGCCTGACCTCTAAGCCGGAGGGACGTGCTGGAGCGGGCCTGGGTTCTGCCCTAGCAGGAGCAGGGCGTCGGGTCTAACGAGGCATCGGAGACCCTGGCTCAGTCAGGAGAAGGCGGGCAAGCGGTGCGGTGAGGCCCCGAGTGAAAGGGCAGGCGAGAGAGCCGTGCACTTGTGCGGGAGCAGGCTCTGCCTTCCCTCTCTCCTCCTCCCTCCCGGCTGTCGGGGCTCAGCAGTCTCCCGCCCGCGCCTCCCCCTTCCTAGTGGATCTCCCACCCTCCTGCAGCAGTCCCTGAATCTGAAGTTTCCCGGCCTATTTTCTGGGGTGTATCGGAATCATCTGGGTCTGTCTCTGGGTCTCCTCGGGTCTCCTCGAGTCTCCGGGGCACCTGGTCGCCAGGTCTGAGGAGGATGGAATGTTTGTTTCCCTCTGTAAAGTGCGCTGTGTGCCGGCAGAGCGTGTGGGCTCTGGTGCGTGTTAGGCTGCGTGTCATTGGGCGAATGAGCCGGCTAGGTTGTGTATGGCTGGTGGTGTGCGCTGATCGTGCATGTGCGTTGTGTGTTGGGTGGAAGGGTGGCTCTTTGGGCTGCGCCTGTGAGAATTGCGTGTGATTGTCGGTGCGTTGGCTGCCGGCGTTGGTTGCCTGCGCCGGGTTTGTTGCAGGCTGGCGGGAGAAAATTCAGAGGCGCTGGAGGAGAACAGGATTTGGGGCCGCGGGAGGGCGCTGTGGAGGAGCAGCAGGGTGACGAGAGTCCTCACGGGCCAGCCTGGCCGCTGTGCGCCCGCAGGGACGCCAGCTGGGGAGTGCAGCTGTGGGATTTCCGGGAGTCCGGGCGGGGTCTCGGGAAGCCTTGGGGAGGGCACCGGGTGGGG